CATGGGCGTGATTCTGACTACAGTAGCCAAAATTAAGGCCAAAATATTGAAACGTGTCCAAAAAGGCCCCAATTAGGAAAGGGCGGCGATTATTTGCCAATTTTGCGCTGATCCGCCAACTGATGGTATCTCAGCGCCATTAACGTATTATCAGATAGCTCGACCTTGTCTGACTCGGTACTCCTACATCAGTTGTGCTACTGCGTAACGAGCGGGTGAATTTATAGGTCGCCAAGAACTGCCGACGTAAAATGTGTTGGCTGTATGCGATTTCAATTTGTGTTTCACATTCGTGCTAGCTGGTACCACCGGGAATAAGCACGACGCGCGAATACTAGCTCGTGCTATACACAGTCCTGAAATTCATTTTCCATTACCCATGCCAGGTAAGTATTATTTAGTTGACTCCGGGTTTGCTCATCGACCGGGCTACATGGCCCTTTATAAAGGATCAGATATATTGTATCATTTTCAGGAGTTCCACAATGATGGATCCGATCGTCGTCGCAGGTTTAGGAATGCTTGTGAGAGGTTTAACTACAGACACTTGTCCTGCAGAAACGTCATAGAACAAGCATTTGGCGTGTGGAAAAAAAATGGCAAATACTTGATCTTATGCCTAGCTATTCGTTTCGAACCCAAGTTGTTGTTGTTGCAACGATGAGCATTCATAATTTTTTACGTCGGTCTAGAGTTGTGGACGAGGCATTTGATAGAGTAGAAACAGATGATGACCCGTTCGAGGTTGACCTACCTAATGCCGAAGACGAAATCCACGCCGAAATGAACGCACCGAAAATGCAGCGAAGTGATTAGGACCGACTTTGCGATTATATGGCACAACAACAGTGATCTTCACAATTTGTGCGAAACGTGACTTTAATGAAAATATCTAGTGTTGTACGAACATGGGAATATAATTCGATGTATCTGTTAAATTTAATAATTTTTGAATTGTACACGCACAATCAGTGAATAATTGATTTTATAAAAAGATTTTTCCAAATTTGGCCTGTCAAAAATATGCACGATACCCAAAGGAAGCAAATTGCATAAAATTTCACATGGATCGTACCTTGTGGTTGGAAAATAATGCAATGAATCATGTAAGTATTTTGAATCAAAGTACACCGGTGGAAGAGCAAAACTGGAAAAGTGGAAACATTTCAATTTCAAATGATTACATTTTTACTGTAGCATATGTGCTTGACAAGACAAAATAATGCATTTTTAGTGTAAAAATAGGCACCAAATAGAGGCTTAGTGGAAATTACACCCAACCAAATGTTTTAAGATTTAACTTCAAAAATCAAGTATTAATTCAAATCATAATTCAATATTTCAATACTGATGATATTATTAAATATAATTAATCTACCACGTCCACCTCCTATCCAAAAAACCCTAATTCATTTTCACAAATCTTCTTTACCCTCTTCTCAAAATTTTATATCTAAGAGATTAAGTATGGTCCATTTCAAAACTAAGAAACAAAGTTTAAACTTTAAAAATCAGATATTAATTAAATTTTATTTATGAAATAATTAGTAAAATAAATATTGTATTAATAAAATATATTAAGATTACAATTCTATACTATGTGATCACAAATTATCGAATTAATTGATCACAAATTATTTTTCGATCACGAATTGAAAATTTTATAGGTTATAAATTATTTTACGGTCACAAATCAAAAAATTTATAGATCACAATTTATTTATTGGTCACAAATCACAAATTTGATAAGTTACGATTCAAATTTTTAGGTCACATATTATTTATTACTCATAAATCCAATTTATTGGTCACAATCTCAAATAATTGGTCAAAAACACTCTCACACCATGCCACCCACCTACAACCACTTACCACCACCTCACCACTACCATTGTCATCTCATCACCATCACTGCAAGCACTACCACCACCACAACCACCAAATATATCGCCGCCGTATCCAACACCCACAATCAACTACATTAACAACCACCCTGTGCCTCCATCTCCACAATCACATGCAACTCCAACTAATCACCACCACCACCGCTGCCTGCTAGAATCCACCATCTCATACAAAACTACCACACCGTAGCCACCACCCAACCAATAAAACCCCCAAACCCACAACAATCACCAACTTTAATGATAATATGATTTTAAAGTGCAAAAGGGGTAGAGAATTAGTATTTTGTCGTGCCAAACCTGTAGCAATATATTCCGGTGCAGCGTAACCATATGTACCCATAACTCGAGTGGACACATGAGTCTTATCATCTAGTGGCCCATCTTTAGCTAGATCGAAGTTGGACAACTTGGCTTTAAAATCCTGCCTTAATAATGTAACAAGATATTACTTTTTCTATGCAAACAACTACCTTAGGTGAAACCAAGACAAAAAAGTTATCCAGGGATCAAACTTCATCCAAAATAATGTTAACATTAACCACAAACTATCCACCACAACCAAATCAAAACCAATTAACATTAACCAATAAAATAATAGGGGACAATATTGAATAATAAAAGCTCCAGTAAGTAGGAAAATAAATTAACAATTTAATTGATTATGCTTTTTATTGGAAAATGCAAGTAAATTTGAAAAAGGGAAAAGGCAAACAATGTTTAGTTGCATAACCTCATAATTGAAGGTGCATTAAAAAATTGATCCATGTCTTACTGTAGTGAGAGATTAAAAATGTATTCCGACGTTTAGTATGTCGGAACAAATAGACTAGCCACAACAAGTGTAGGATACTAAAAATCTCGTATGT